TTTTTTTGTAAAGGTTTTTTTAGGAAAGAAAGCATGTTGAATTTTTAGTGAAAAACCAAAAATAGTTTGTATTCCCTGATATTCATACTTTGACAAAAAAAATTCACTCGGGTCTTGAAACCAACCATTTATGTGAGCACCACACTTCATCTACTATTTTATTGAGACCTTTTTATCATTCTTGGTACCAACAACATACTGTACTGTTCCTTTAGAACAGTGTTATTGACATATTTTGATACCAAATAGTCTAAGACTGTGACTTTCTTGTTTGTGTTTGCATTACATCACAACCAGTTTTGAACTTGCCTAGCAGAAAACTTCTGTCCCTTTTCTAAGTGCTATTGTGAATGTCATGCAGTCTCTAAAACTGAAGGACCTGCAACAGTTTCTGAAGCTGTAACTGACAGCATTTTAGTTCATCAGATGTTGATAGTTGGGTTTCAGAATATTTGCATGAACTTGCAGAATGTGCACCAAAAGATTTGGTTGTAACCCGAAGATTTGATCCTACAGCTGACAGAACATTTTCATGTTAACCATCCCCCCCACCTTAAGTTTCAGGAAATTGCCAGTATGGTAGTTGTGAAACATATTGAATTTTAATTTACCTGAGTATTATCATCAATACAACATCTTGTTTCAGTTTAAAGCCAGTTCTGTCTGAGTGCCACATCATTGTACATTTAAAAACCAAAAGTATCTTATGCTTGCTATCTCTGATGCTAGTGTTACTTTCACTAAGATGGGTGTGTTGGTTGTATTCACCAATGTATGGAAGCCGTGAGGCAAAAGTACGTGACTGTACATCCACAAGGTACTTGATTAAAACAAGCTTTGGTTCAATTATTCATACTTGCTTATATACTAATTAATATTAGATCTATGTTTACGATAGATATGCTTGCAGCTAGCTTTTTTTTTGTTTTGAATATTATTTACCATTTTTTACAATAGGCCTGAATATTTATAATTATGCTGGATTATCAATTGGTACAATAATGTTTTGATTGTCACTAAACAAACACTAGAATCATTGGCATCTTGCTGGCTAGCCATTGCCAATTTAAAGGTCTGGATTCACTTGTCTACTTGAAGGAAGTTTTCTTTTTAAAAGAACAGAAAGAAAATGGGTTTAAGATGTTGAAAACATTTTGGTGCAATATTTTTGTTAAACTTGCATATTTTCTTTCTAGTGCTTGTCCAGTGTTGCAACAGCTTTACAGTCAGGGTTTCTTCCATATTGTGAACCAGTTTTCAAACGTTGCGTATCTCTTGTTGAACAGACACTCAATCAAAATATGGTGAGTATATATATATATTTTTATTTTTTTTTTTGCTTTTGTAGTATATCTAGGATTATCTGCAAGAACATGCAGTAGGCTATTTAGTATTTGAATGAAGTATCAATTAATAAAAAAAAATTGCAAAAAGTAAATAAAATATATATTTTATAACTTTTAGGGCAGTCTTATAACTGTCATGTAGTTTAATATATCACTATTAAAAATACTTAATAATTTTAATTTAATAACATTAAAATCTTCCCTGCACGTTGGACTTATTTGCATTATAGTGTTCATAATACAACTGTTTAGGCTTGTTTAAAACCTGCAACAATTGGATAGTTTTCACTTTAGTAACATATCTTATAATGCTTCAGTGTATTGTTTAGAAATCCATTACATCAATATAAAAAATGCTATGTGATCATGTGATTTTCTTAAGAAAAAACGTGCTTCTTGTGAGTTAACCCTATTCATACAGGTGGTTAGAGTACAAATGTCATCACCTTTTTATAGAGTTACGTTCAAACTTTATTTAAAGAATTTTATTGTCAGTGCATTTTCAGTAAGTTGGGCATCAAAGTGTAGTTTGTAATTCAGTATGTGGTTTCTGAAGTGTTAATTTATTTATTTCAATAATATTTTAATAAATTGTCATTGTCTCTGTGTCATGTGATGCATCTGGTGGTCTGATTTGTTCTTTTATTTATTTATCTTTGTTTAATGGTGTTAATTCTGTCCAATTGGAAATACAAGCTATAGATACAAACCAGAAAATAATATAAGAACCTCCTCTCGTCTCAATTTGCTGAGATATGAATGAAGTTGCCCAACCTACAAATCAGGTTCCTGCTTCCTCCTACCTTTCCATAGCTTTAGTATGTATTCTAACCCACGTGATACATATTTATTATCAACAGAAAAGAGAAATTTAGTGTACCTCCCTCTTATGTTCCTTTGTATTTTGGCAGTCAGAGACAGCAATTTCCAAGAAAAATGTTGTGTTGAATGAATAGTTAGAGAGCCAGACACATTATTGTAGTTTAGGATATTTTATTATAGAGCCTGATGTACTTTTGTGTTTTAAAATGAATATTTGAAAGCTACATGAATTATTTTGTGGATGGTCAATGTGGTATGAAAAAGTCTTACCAAAATATGTTCCCAAGCTAATAGATAGGGTAAGTGGTAGATTTTTGTTTTTTACATATATATGTGTGTTATTTATTTGTACATATATTTTTAACAAAAACGTAACTAAATTGTTAAAAGTAGAAAATTGTAAGGTTAGATAGAACTTTAATGAAAAAAATAATTAAATAGAAAATCTCATGATCACTAGCTCGTGTACATCATGCAGTTTGAGATTGTATGATGTAACTTGATCATTTTGTTTTCATTAAGCTGGCTGCTGTGATAGATATTGGGTTTCACATACATACACTGAGATAATTTAAATAATGCTGCTAACAATAAAACAAAGTACATATGAAAAGTTTAGAAAGCTGAGGCTGTTAGGATAAGTAATTGTTACTGTCTGTTACATTCCTCAGCATTGTAGAAAAAGTATTCTTGATTCTATTTCATATTTTTAAATTTTTTCATTTCACTTTATGTTGATAATTTTACTACAGTTAGTGTTAGGGTAGAAAAAAATCAAAAATAAAACATAATAGTTTTACCAAACAAATATTTTTGATATTCATTTTTTTAGAAGATTCTAAAGGTTATAAGAATAAAATATGAATACTGCAAGGTGAAAAGAGAGATTTGTAAACTTAGCATGGAAATATCTTTCCATTCTGATTGACTCAGTAAAAGCTTTGTAAATTCACAGACAAACCTTAGTAAAAATACATAATTTAAAATTCTGATTTTTTGTGTACAAAAGACTTGTTTTGCTTTGTAAAATCTTGCCAAATTTCATGAAGATACACTAAGTACGTTCAGAGTTATAGTAAGTATATCATGGTTACAAGGTTGGTCAAGTTGACTGACCAGTATGTATAGGGTTAGAGAGAGTGATTGTGGGCTTTTAAAAAATAAAAGTTAAAAACTGAATGTACGTTATAACCGAAACTTTTTAGCAAATTTGAGAAATATTTAAAAATAGTTTTAAGTTGTTTAATTACAATTAATTATCATGGTCGGTTTTTGTTTTTAGGCTAATGCAGCACACCCAGACCAGTTTGAGGCACCAGATAAAGATTTCATGATAGTAGCTTTGGATCTGCTTAGTGGTCTAGCAGAGGGTCTTAACGGTCACATGGAACAGTTGGTATTGTCCAGCAACATTATGCAGCTTCTGTTCCAGTGTATGCAAGTAAGTCAGGTTCAGTATCTGTTTAGTGGTCTAGCAGAGGGTCTCAACAGTGAACAGTTGATGTGTTGTTCTGTTGTGTTTATGTGGTTCGGGACATGTTTAGTGGTCTAGTTAGTTTAATCACATGGTGTTATTCAGCAATATTATGCAGTATATTTGAGGAAAGGATCTTTCATTGGAGTTTGAAAATAATTATATTTTATTTGAAATACTGACATGAAAAATGAATATGGGTATGAATTCAATATAACCTAAAGTTTTTTCAAATCTTCTTCTGAGCATCATTCCACATACACACAAAATTAAGAATGCATTTATTTTTATTAAATTACAATGTTTTGTAGATATAGCCAACCTATTTCGATGTCTTTTTTTGTTTTCACAGGATCCAATCCCAGAAGTCAGACAAAGCTCATTTGCTCTTTTAGGTGATCTCAGCAAAGCATGTTTTCAACATGTAAATCCATGTATCTGTAAGTTTATTCTTGTAAATTAGTTAATGTTGTCCTTGGTACTTTGTTAAGGAATTGTTCGTAGCAAAACATCTTTTAATTTGGTATTAAATAATTATGTAAATTCTTAGATTTCGTTTTGTATACTACTGAACTAACAAGTTTTACGATAATATAAAAAAAAAGTAATATTAGTAATTGTTATTTTTGGGAAAGGAATTAAAAGATGTTTTTGCTTGTTTTTTCTGGTTGTATTTACTTAATGCTAAAATAACATTAAAAGAAATTTCAAAAAAAAGGTATTTTTGATATGGAATAATGAGAGCATGTTGGACTTAATCTATTGTTACAATAATTCAAAATACGTGAGTTGTCTGATCTTGTATATTTAAAACTATTGTTTTTTATGTAGTTGATAATAACAAACAAAATAATTGGCTCATATTATTGTAAATATAAAGGTTTATATGATAATGTACTTAACTTCTATAACTTTTTTTATTATGGAAAATATGTTTTCATATGATAATTGTGTTTTCTACAGTATATTTTATTTGTTCTGTTAGCCAACTTTATAGCCAGAACCTGAACTCAGAAGTTTTTGTATTTAACACCAGTTGTACAGAAATGTTTCATAAAACAACTTCTTCCTATCCTTGGTTAAATTCTGAAGCAAACTGTTCATTTTTTATGTTTCTGTAACATTCTAATGTTTTCTTAGTGTTGATCTTACAATGTTTGTTTGTTCTTTTTCAGCGGACTTCATGCCTATTCTTGGTCAGAACCTGAACCCAGAGTTTATTTCTGTCTGTAATAATGCAACCTGGGCCATTGGTGAAATATCTGTTAAACTTGGTAATTCATGTGAGAATATCATTTATTATCTTTTGTTCTTCATTAAATTTAACCCTCTCGCTACGGGAAAGTCAAAGTATGCGTGTCATAAATTTTTAAAAAGTTACATTCAAGGTTTAAGTTACTTAATTATCGTTGTAATAAACTTGGCCTTAAAACATAGCTAATAAATAAAGTTTTAATATTATATAAGTGTGAAATTCTTAATTTTATAAGGAAGTATAAAAAAAATATTCTCAATCTCCTTTAGTATGAGAATTACGACATTTGCTCTCTAGGTCTTCCCTCTTCTATAACTTACTTACCACCCTCCCGAGAAGTACAGAGTTTAACCAGAATTACTCGTTATAATATAGATATTAGTCAGGTAAAACCTTCAATCTTATTTACTTATGGAGCCATAAACTAGAAAATCAGACCCACTTGCCATGCCCATATGTCACATCCTCTCTTTCACATATTGCCAATAGTTCTCTCTGACATTTTATACTTCATTATTTATAACTACTAAAAAGCCAAAGTCTTAATCTATCAAATGATGTATTATATTAGATTGTTTTCTGTCCAGAGTATTTGTCTGCTTCGTTTTCATTTTCTCTTGTGATGCTCATATTGACAAGCTTTAAGAGTAAGATTTAAAGCCAGATAAATTATGATAGATATAGGACATTGTTTGCTTTGTACATTTTATTATTTGGTGTTCTTAGGGGCATCATATAATCAAGTAAAAATTATTTAGTGTAGTGGTATCATTAGTTTCATCGTCAGTTGACAGCCAAAAAAGTGACCTAGGTAAGTACTATATTTCCTGTTTATAATGCATATTATGTATTATGATAAACTAACTAACTAAGATATAAAAATTAGAAACTGGTAAGGTTAGATTAAGTAAGATAGGTATGCACTTTTGCTGAGTGATTTACAACTTTTAAGACAGGATTATGTGTTACACATTCATTGGGCAATAAAACAAGAAAATTAAGTAGAAACAGATGTATACTGTTATGAGCTTCAAGCTGATTAGGATGAACAATTGTAGTTTCATGTTACAATTTGCAGTCATTCTAGAAAGGAAACAAAAAGGAGTAATTTAGATTTATTTCATTTTTTTATGATGGTTTTGTGATTGGTGAAATTGTCTGAATGTGTATAATAAGGGTAAATAATATAACAGATAGAATAAAAAGTTTTACTGCAAAAAAATGTTTGATATTTATTAAGAAGGTTTTGGAAATTACTCAAATGAAAGTTCACAATTTTCAGATGAAGAAAAGTATTTTTAATGTCAAAAGGAAAATCACTTTGCACTTGGAGTAGTTAACACTTTGATTTCTTGTATTCATGGGTAAAGGTTTAGTAAAATTAATTAAATAAAAAATCTTAGTTTTTTTGTACAGAAGACTTGCAATGTTTATCAAAAGCTTACCAAAGTTTGTGAAGATACAAAAAAATCTATTAAAAGTTATAGTATGGAAACTCTGATGGTCACGAACATGGTTGAATTGACTGAACCCACAGCGAGAGAGTTAAAGTTTTACTCAGTTGTAATATACCCATTTTGATAAAACTTTAATCATTTACTTTAACCCTATTAGTAACAGCATTTACATTACAGAGAACACACTTCACCATTTAAAGAAAGCAAAAAAAAAAAAAGTACAAAAAATGATATAGTAGACTATTCAGATTTAATAATGTTTTAAAATTGTGTAACTATCCTTTTATTTGTCATAATTTTGATTTGATAATAAGTTTTCTATTATCTTTCTGAATAAAAGTTTCTTCTATTGATGTAGCTGCACAAAAAATTAAGATTTTTTTTTTTTCTGTAGCATAACTAAAGGAAGTAATATAAAAAAGATCAAATTATTTAGTAGGCAAATTAACCAATTAATACAAAAGGTTTTGCTAATAACAGTATTAGCTTGGTATTACCAGTTTTTGTTTTTAAATCAAATATTGAACATACTTTTTAAACTAAAACAGTCCACACTTAGGTTTGTAAAACTGATTTTTGTTTTTTTACATCTTCAGAAAACTGTGGAAAACTTCAGAAATGAAATTTTAAGAAATTTTATTTATGAAAATTTGCTTTGTAGTACTTAATGTTTATGAATCAATAATTAGTTGATACCATTAGAAAGGGAAATGAATAATAGCCAGTGATTTTGTATACACCTTTATCTAGTTGGCATATAAAAATTTTGAAGCTTCAGCCTGATTATAAGGAGTTTTTACTGTTAGGTACATACTATATGTTAAAAACTTTCTGAAACTGTCAAAATTAGAATTTATTTATATGAGCTTAAATTTCGTTTTTAAGAGCTCCCCTCAGTGGATTAGTTTGAACTAAATAACTTTTTCACTGTTATAGGTTCAGACATGAAACCATATGTTCCGATGGTTTTGAATCAGTTGGTTGTAATAATCAATAAACCAAACACACCTAAAACACTACTAGAAAACACGGGTAAGTATGTGAAATATTGCAATGAATGTTATTGGTTAGTTGTGTATAAGAATAACTAGTATGAAAAAGTTTGTAGAATTATAAGAAAGGTATATATTTTTATTTTCAAATTATTTTCAAAGTGAAAAGATTGCTAGTTTTTAAAACCCTCATTATTGAATATGTCTATTATGAAATCAAATTTTGCTATTGTTTTTTTGAGATTAGAAATTTAAATATTGTAATGACTTATGATTGGGTTGTTTTTTTATGTTCTATGTAGTAAAGCATGTTTACAAATTCCATACTCTAGCCCTCAAATTCAAATACAATATGTATGTTACATTTAAATGGTAAAACTGATAGTGTAAGCAAAGTTCATTTGTTTGCACTTATTTTCACTCTTAGAAGATGCTTGTACTATAAAATATAAGGGCATCATATATATGTCAAACAAGATGAGTAAAAACAGTTAATTTAAAAAGAGAGAATAGGGATTGTCAAAAGTACAGAAACAAGTTGAATCAAAATGCAAGGATTGTATTTTCAAGCCTACAACTAAGGACTCCATGTCTACAGTACTTATCAATTTTAGTGGAGTCAAAATAGGGATTTGTAGCTTGAGGAAATAATGTAGACACTATTTCCAGCCTTGTTTACTTTTTTTTTTTATTCCCTAGTTATAGGCTTTAAAATTTACCCTTTACATTTTGTTTCAACTTGTTTCTGTACCTTTTTGATGATCCATATTCCCCCTTTTTAAATTAAAAATTTTTACTAATCCTGTTCTTTAAGTTTTTTTTGATGCCCATTTATGGAGAATAAATTTTAAGCTACATACATGCATATGTGTTCAGTTGACTGTTACATATTTTTCAACAGTTTACTGCTGCATTGGCTTTCTTCTCACCCAACCACCTCTCTGAACTTATTTAAAATAAATAACAAATCTACAATAATGAATAAACACATGTACTGGTATGCAGCTACAACAAACAAACAAACAAAATAACATTCTCAAATGAAGGTAAAGGTTGTATCGTCACAAATTTAATAACTAACTTCCATCAGTGTGACAGTGTAATGTAACAAAAGGTGAGCAGCAACAAAGCGATTTCATCAGAATGTAATAATGTTTCTTCTAAGATAATACAAACATATTAATGCAATGTAAATAGATGCAGTAACATGCTTACCTTGTTAGGTCTACTTTACTTTACTTTTAGGCTTGCTAGGTATTTAGGTTAGTGCGGGAGTTGTGGCTAGTGATACAAATTGGTTCGTTAGTGGTGTTTGGTTTATTGATTTTTTTGTAATATTTATCTGCGAAGGTTGTTAAACGTTCTCTGATGTCAGGGATGTCACCTGCTTTTTCTAGGTATACGTTAGGCGTGCAGTTTGGGAGTCTATATGCTATTCTGATAGCTAGATTCTGGGCTCTTTGAATGATATCGTACTGTGTTTGTGATGCATTTACTGTAACCATGTTACCATATTCTATTAATGGGTGGTGTATGTTATCGCTCGGCACCCTTTAATTATGCCTCCTATCTTCTTCAAATAATGGATGCGTTTGTAAACTTTGACTAATATGTTTTGAAGTGGTCTGACCAGGTTAATTTACTGTTATACGTGACTCCTAGAAATTTTGCGGTCCTGGAGAATTGGAGTTCCGTGTCGTTTAGATTTATTTTGACTTTTGGGAGGGATTTGCTTTTACGGGAGATCTTTCTTTTGAACAATATAGCCTGTGTTTTGGAGGCATTCAGCACAACTCTCCATGTGTTGCACCATTGTGTTATGATGTTGAATGAGGTTTGAACCTTGGATGCTGCTAATAGTGTCTTGCGGGATATGCTCGAGATGGCAATGTCATCAGCGTATTGTGAAACATTTGTATATGTTAAGTTAGGGAATGGTATGTCATTTACAAACAGGATGTAGAGTAACGGGCTTAGCACAGAGCCTTTGGGGACACCTGTTGCTAGCGTGAAAGGGTTAGATTTGGAATTGTTGATTTTCACACTGGCTTTTCTATTGGAAAGGAAGCTTGAAATCCATCTTGTTATTACTGGGGGAAACTTAAATTGAAGAAGTTTACATTTTAGGCCTTGGTGCCATACCGAGTCGAAGGCTTGCTTTACGTCTAGGAAAACCCCTATTGTCGTGTGATTTTTGTTAAAACCTTGGGTGATGGATTCAGTTAACCTGACTAGGTGATCGGCTGTCTGTCTGTTTTTGCGGGATGCGTCGATTGGGGTGTTAGTTTGGGCCTTGGATTGCTGGGGACCTCGGCATATGAAGTTTTTTTCCCTGTATGGCTGGCTGGGGGGCTTCTGGGACTGCTGACACTGTAAGATGGTTCACTCTCATGTCTGGTGGTCTTTGGCTGTCACTCGTACTCGCTGGAAGTTTCTTTTGTAGTATGAGTCGATTCCTTTTTAGGGTGATTACTTGAGAGTACTTGGGGCAACCTCTGTAGGAGGCGGCATGCGGGCCACCGCAGTTGGCACAATAAGTTTCTTCTCTCTTCTTGTGGCATGTTGCTACATGATGTAGTTCTCCGCACCTGACACATCTAGGGGATGCGGTGCATATGGCTCGTGTGTGGCCAAACTTTTGTCAGTTGAAACATTGAAGCACTTTGACTACATTGGCTTGTTTTGATTCTTCTACAGGATGGCGAAGGAACCATAGTGTTACTCCATTCTTGATTTGGCTGTCTGCTTGTTCGACGTTTTTGAGACTGGCACGGATTAGTGGTGTTGGCTGTCCTGTTTTGGCTGATTTTATTTGGTCGATGTGAGTAACTTCTATATCTTGGCTTGCTAGTTCTCCTTTAATTTCCTCCGTTGAAATGTCTTGAGCAACACCCCTGATTACTATTGCTTTAGCGGGTACTGGGTCTCCAGGTACGTGGATATTCAGAGAGGCAGAAGGCGTTTGTAGGCCATGGCTTCAGGAGTTTAGAGTAGTCCTTGGGTTCTTTGCATTTGATTACAAGGCCTCCGCGGGCTTGTCGGCAGACTTCAGTAAATGTGGTAGCTTGAAATAGGGTCTTGAGCTGCTGTGCTATCTGTGGCTGGTGGTAGGTGAGTGGAATATCTTCAATTATGATGGCGGGTGGTGGTGCTGGTTGTTTGTAGTCGGCTTTTTTCTCTGTAGTCTTGTCTTTATGACTATTGTGGGTAGTGCTCACTGGTGATATCTTAGGCGATGTGTCGTTCTTCTTTCTTGGCTGGTCTGGCTCCTTAACGGGGGACTCTTTGCTGCTAAGAGAAGTGTCACTAATGTCTGTTTCATGGGTTGATGTTACGTCGGACGATTCCATTTCCTTTTCAATGGCAGCCAGTAGTTGAAACTGCGAAGTGGTGGAAAGTGGCTGGCCGCCGGCTCTCGTTCTCATTGTGTTGGTCAGACTCAGTAGTCCAGATAAGGACTGATCAGGCTTAACTTGATCAAGACCTAAAGGCTAATGATTAAGTTAAATACAGTGTATTGGCCTGACTGAAATTAGAACTTCCTTAGGGCAATAACACTTTTTGATGCGTATCTCGGCTTACTGAGAGAGCTGACGTGATATACGTCCTCTCTCTACGAAAACTAGAGAGAGGTGCAAAATACCCAGCCGATTTTGCTGCAGGCTTGTGAAACAACAACAATATTAATATGAACAAAATGGGCAAATTTTGATTTTGTCTGCAATCTTGAAATCACTTATTGTGCTTATTATCAATGTTTTGTATTATCAAGGTTTTGACAAAGTATTGATTCAAGCATGTCTGCTTTTAAGGTGGTTCTTACCCAAATGTTCTATTAGAGTTTTGAGCAAATTCGTGTGTGATCCATATTATGAACCTGTATTGTGAATCATGATATATATATATATGAATTATGTCTGAAGAATTCACTGGCATTTGACTCTTTTTTTTTCCTTTATCTCTTTTCATCTGTGATGCTACTGAAGATGTGTTTCATATTGCTGTTTACCATGTTCTACTTCAGTCTTGTTGAAATGGACAGAGGTCTTATTCAACATTTGATACAACTTTATTGCTTACACTAATTTCTTAAGATGAAATAGAAGTTATTGTATTTCAAGATAACTTTGCATCACCACCAATGGTTTTTTTTCATCATAAATGTTTTTGACACTGGAATCACTTGGTACTGCAGCTGTAGGTTGTATGTTTCTCTCACCACATCTATGTTTATAATCAAACTAATCCTGTGCCAGGCCCTGTACATTAGTATTATATTGTGGCATGAGTGTCACTTTATGAAACAAAATTTTAAAGTGTTTACAAACTGCCCACAAACTATCTCTCTTAAAAAATTGAAGAAGTGATAGAATTCTATGTTTATGTATTTCTGGCTAATTGTTTTATTGCTGTCTGTTCAATTAACACTTTTCACAAATTTATATAATTTGATGAACTAATTTTTCTGTATAAATACTGCTGGCTTATGGACACAAAACTATTCTCTTTTTAAGTACAGATGAATGTGCTTGAAACACAGCAGCAAATTTAAAAAATAATCAGGAAAAAACATAAACAATTATGAATAATCCAGGCATTTACTATTCTAATACGAGAAATTGGACTGATAAGTACTGTTACAAACTAAAAAACCTTTTTTGTTGTTGTTGTTCAGTAAAATAATTTTAAATTTGTACCATTTTTTTTCCTTGTTAACTTAAACATTGTTATACATGTTTGGGTTTAGGTTTTCTTTTACCTATGGAATTATAAGTAAGATTTCATCCGTGTCGATATGCATACATTTTATCTTCGAAAAATTCCAAATTTCCAAAAAAAATTTTTTTTTTTTATGGAAGTACATATTGGGATGCAAAATATGGCAAATAATGAACTGTAACTTACATATTGTGACATATAACTGTACAGTTAGATTACCTTTGTTGTTTTGGATGTATACACAGATTTTCTGTGAATGTGGCAAAGAATTGAGCTTGTGCTTGGAGAATATTGTTCTGTAGTTACCATGCTTGTCTGGAGTCTTAAAGTTGAATTGTAGTTGTCATTTATTATTAAAATCATCATCTGGTATGAATTTCTTTAACTTGTGTTCCACTGTTTTGCACAGCTGCCAAGCATTCTGTTTGAAGCATAGTATGATTCTTATGACATTTTAACCATGACCTGCTCTCTTTTTCACATTTTCTTTCAAATGGAAGGGATTTTTTCCACACATGGTCCTGCTATTAATTCTCTGCCAGTGGCATGAACTGAATTACAAATTCTCATTGGTTAATTGAGGATCATATGTATGGCATATGTTCACTAATTGGCTGAGAATGAATAATACTTTAAATTGCTAATTTGTTGCAATACTTTGAGGTAGCTTGATCTATGTGCTAGATATTACTAGTTACTGTACGAATGAAACATGCAAATTTGGGCAATACATACATATTCTAATGTATATAAAGGATACCAAAATAATGTTTCAAAAATAATAGTAACATAATTGAAGATAATGTAAAATATCTTGCTACAAAATGCAAGCCTAATTGGATAAGTTTCAAATTTAAACTTGTAAGCATGTAGCATGGACTTTGCATGGACCTCATTATTCTTTTAAACATTTTTCATAAGTTAATGACTTAAGTGTTCTTTTGAGAATGTATTTTATGATTTTTACATCGATATTGAATTAGAAATTTTTTAAGTAGATTAATGGTATGTTGATGGCAAAAATGCAAGAGTTGAAATTTTATGTCTGATATTGAGTTTTAACATATTTAAGAGTTTTGTGACTTTTCTTTATTATTGTGAGCCACTTTTTTTTTTCATCAGCTGTATGCTTGACTGTTTTTAACATTACTATATCCAGACAATGTCCATATTTACCAGATCTTTCTTGTTGATTTTTATACCAATGCTGCTTTTCTTCTGGTCAGTAGCTCAAAATTAGGGACTACAGAAAATAGCCTTAGTAACTTGGGCATAAAATACAAAAAATGATAATGTATTGCCAAGTTCATGAGCAACTAGTAGTGATAGAAAACAATTCAGCATATTTTTGGTAATTTTTTTTCTTAGCTCTTAAGATTAATGAAAGACAGTAATTACATTTGAAACTTTTAATATTTTCAAATCACTATTTTGTTTTTAAATTCTAAGCCCAAAACTACCAAACATTGTGGTTGAAGGGTCAAAAAGCTGAAAACTATAAAGCTTAATTTAGTTCAGAAAATAAGGATAGTAATGTGCGAGATGTAGTTATTTGTGTTTTTTTATATTTTCAAGTTAATGTTTTTGACATTGTGCAAAGGGAATCATACTTGCATTAATTTCCAGTTCTTCCTACTGAAAAAGAAAGACATGAAAAAAGTTAAAAACCTGTAATATAAATAAATAAATTTTGATTTTGAGTTACTTAAAATTCAAAAATCAGGTTTGTAAACTGTATTTTAATTGTTTTTGTCTTTTATGTCATAGCTCTGAACTTGATACTATGTTTTATGTATGTGTAATTTAAAATCGTTGTACTAATACAATTTTCAGCTATTTCAAGATCCAGACTTGGAAGATACCTGAATAGTTCTGGAAGTGGAATATTTTACATTTTATTGAAACTGTTACACTAACACAAGTTTCTCCAGTGTTTAGAAATTACAAAATCTTTGACTGTCATTAACAAATCATTATGAAATAATCTGAGGGTGAAGTCACTGCAGATTTTTTATTATATTCAGTTTTTCTCTTTAATAACCTTTTCAGTGTTTTAAGGCTTATAATTTTTCTTCTCTTTGTTTATTAGTTGTCATTTGCTTTTTTTCTCCCATTTTTTGCTTCCTGTCTTCATCTTGTTCCATCTTCCTGGTAATGTAGCCATAACAATCGGTCGCCTTGGTTACGTATGTCCTGAGGAAGTCGCTCCTATGTTACAGCAGTTTATACGCCCGTGGTGTGTAATGTTTTTTTATTTATTCTTTTTTCTACATTCAGATAGAATTTTTTCTTTTTTTCTCAGTGATTTAAAGATTTTAGAATTTAAATGGAATGTTCAGTATTGTTTTAAGAGTTTGTTTTCTAGATCTGTTTTGGCTTTCACTGTAGAGCAGTCCTTTACCAAATGTTTGACTAATTGCACATTTTAATTTTGGGTTTGAAACTCACATTTTCTCTTGTTAACATGTGTTTGTTTTTTTTTCTGTTTGATTTTTAACAATCCTCTAAAGTTGCTTTTTGTATATTTATTTCTATAATATATGTAAAAAGAAAAATATGTTAAAGGGATGGGTCCTGTACTAAGTTTAATTCAACTTGGTGTCAGTTATTCAGTCATTTGCTTCTCAGATTCTGCAAACACACGGAAATTATCAAGCTAAACAAAACATCTACAAAAACTAAGAGTGTGTACTTTTTGATAACTTTTAAAGATGTTGAACATAGTGCTAACATTTCCTCAGCTCAAACTTCTATTTTAAAACTTTGAACCAAGTTCAACTCTATATTTCATCATTTCCCCATCAGGAGTTATTTTAGGTGCAAGTATTATCATCCAACGACTTAGAACAGGAAATATATTATTGTTAACTTATCCAGAGTTAAATAGATCATTGAAGAGAGTGAGAAGAAAGTACTGTTATTTATCAATTTCTTAGTTTTTGAATAAAGTTTTAGGGAACATGAAGTTCATTAACTTCTCCTGACACCAGTAGAAAAGCTACAGTTCCCCTCCAGTTAAATAAGGCACTCCTATGTATTTTGCAGAGAAATGAGTTTGAGTCCATTCCTCAGCAACCCTGAATTGGGAAAAAAAAAAGTGTTGTAGAGTCAAATATTGAATGAGAGGAAAGTGGAAAAAAGCATCATATAAATCATGGGATTTTATTGGGAAAATTATGAAAATTCTATATTGTCAAATTAGATTTAGCAAGTTAAAATAATGTTTCTATGCATATTAACACAACAGTGTTATAATTGCAAGGGGGTTGAGAAGATAATTTTAAAAAAGAAAATAAATTCTTGAATAAGCCCAAATGGTTCTGAAGTTTAGATTCCAGATTTGCCACTCTATATTAGAGAATTATATATATATAAAAGTTATTCATTAGAGAATGCATCTTATTTTCTACTTTTTATATCATTTATAAAAAGTGATTAGCAATGATAACTGGATGCATCAGGATGCCAGTTCAACACGCTATTGTTACCAAGACCAGTCAGATTTTGGCCCAAGTTAAACAGTAATGAAAGTCTTAAGCCTAGAAATATTGCACTTTCACTCATCTCATCATTAAAAACAGTATAGTATCTGATTTCTAGTTCACCATTGCACAACAGGCTTGGAAAATATTTGAATTCTCTGGATTATATTGGGAAAGTCTTTGAAGATGAAATCTGCCTTTAAAAAAAATATACAAATTTTACTAATTTCTTACATTTTGGAAATAATTGGTCATATTTCAATAACTCCAGAAGTTCAAATCATGGTTATACAAATGACTAGGGATATGTATAAATATCGGTGTGTATACAGCCTAAGTACTACCAAATGTTGTAATGCCATTGGCTACCCTAAAAAAATCTGTAGTCTTCTAGTAACACAAATTTGGCCCCCCAAATTTGTAAATGCTTATTCACCTTTAAGTGGTTAACCAAGCTGTAATATAACTTGGTCATAAAATTCAAAGGGAGCAAATTTAAGATGTTGGGTGCTGGGTAATAAGATCATAGAGTTAGCAAAGATGGGAGAAAGTAGTCTTACATTACTCAAGAAAAATTAGAAGAAACCCATGGGGTTATAACTCCAAATGTTTCCAGTGAACAAGTTGGATATTATTTAAAGAACTAGTGACTATTTTGGATCTAATACCTCCCAAGGAAAATGATTCTTTAAGTGCAAAATTTGTTGTTGTGATTTCCAATTTCTGCAGGGATAATGAACATAAAGTAGAATTTTTGTGGACAGTGCAAACAATATCTTGTCGTCATTCCTATCATTTCAGTGAGGTTGTTGATTTTTCCTACATAGCCAGTTTACTTCAAAATTATTTTTAGACTTAGCAGAACATTATAAGTACATCATGTTATCATTCTTCTGTTTAAAAGACTGAAAAGCAACAAAATATTTAACAACTGCATTTAGTTGTCCATGTACATCATGGAGAAGTAATCACCCAATACTTTAACTCCAGGTTTCTAGGTAAGTCAGTGTGATAAATATTTCCTTAAGTTTGGATTTAAAGAAAAATTATAAACAAGGAGCTGGAAACAGAGAACTGAGTTGAGCTTTTGCTTGTGCCCAACATTTAGTTTGTAGTCATGTTAAAGTTATGGAGAAAATTTTAAAAGCACCACTCAATAAGCCCTTGTACTTGCAACTGTGTCAAGGCAAAGATATGAATTGTACTTACAACAGGAAATGGAGAAAAATAAGATAATTGAAGAAATACTGAAAAATGAATCATATGATTTAGGAAAAAGAGGAATTAAAGAAAATACAGAAAAGAAAAAGCTAGATATTGAGTATTAAGCAGATCTGAAATGACTGAGAAGGCAGAAGTTAGTAGAATTTAACAAAGTCGAGGGCATGTAGAATCACAAAAAAATGTCAAAACAGTTGAAAGAAATATGATACAAATTAAATGACAAAGTTTCTACTCTGGAATAAGAATAAATTTAACTTCAAATTGAACTAGTTGGCACACAAGAAAAACAAAAAAATGAAAGTTTAATGCTTTAAGTACTTAAAATATTTTTAAAGTTTTTAACTTTAGGGTTTTAAGCACATGAAAATAAATAATTGCCATGTAAGAAGTGTGGATTAGCATGTTGGTAAAAAAAAAAGTATTTTTTATGGAAAATATCTTTGAAAAACAGCTTGGTATTTTTGTATGAATGACGTGTTAGAAGTTTTACTGTAATTGTCAGCTATTTGAAAATTTGTCAATACTTACTGTGAAAAATAATAGTGGGAAAGTATACAGCTTCTAATATTAGCTAACTTCAGTAAAGTTGTCATATGACTTTGAGATATACCATGCCTGTGACTTTGAGATGTACCATGCATCATGTAGATTATTTTTCACTTGGTGACTAAAATCATGAGATTTTGTTCACTTGAATTTTGAATAACTAATACAACCTGTTTTTTGAGTAAGGATTACAATATCAAGATGACTTGAAAAGATAAGTACTGCACATTAGATGATCCAGGAAAAGTGAATCTTGCATTTGCATTGTCTTAACTGTTAGGAACCATTCTGAGTGTTGTTATGGCTCACAGTTACTGAACTACACAGATTCCCCATTTAAAAATAGTAAATTTAGTGTATATTATTTACAATAAACAACAGGAACCATAATCCTCATCCTTCAGCATGAAAAGTTAAGTTTCTTTGTAAAGATAAAAGAAGTTTAACTTTTATTAGGAAAATAATTTTTTAAATAACAAACTTCTTATAACTGGTCCTGGAAACCCTTGCACCTTGTTTGAAATTGAAGCAAGAGCTCATGCACTTTGATTTCTATAAAATTTGATTGTTTATAGCGATTTACAACAGTGATATTTTTAGTAGTTATTGCAAATTGGCTAAAACCTTTACATCTGAACTGTGATTAAGATGTTGAGTACTTATGGGTGCTAAAATCTTTAAAGTTGTGGTGTATATTATAGTTTTTAAAATTTGATATATCACAGAGGATTGTAACAGGAATCAAACAGAATTAACCTTTAGTGTAAATGTGCTGTCAGATTTTGTTACATGTTCTAAATATTTACAATTTGTGAATGTCCCTCTGTAGTCCTCCCAGTAGTTCAGCTATAAGATTGAGGGCTTATAACACACTAAACATTTGGGTTTGATATCAATGATGGGTTCAGTGCAGAGAGTTCATTATGCTTTGTGCTTAAAACACCCCCACCCAATAAATCATTGATAAATTTGTCAATAATTCAAATACTTTATTAATAGTTTCACTAATAGAATTTCATTTTTCAAATGAAACATTTTTTTTAACTTGAATATAACTTGATGCCTCAATTAACACTGTAGAAACTTGAAAAGTGGAATGTAATTATTGGTTATCAGAACCCATTGTTAATGTTTTTCATTGCTGATAAAGAGAGAATGCTTGACTGACTGAGTTATTACTGCAGGTATGGTGATTTATAAATTTAAGCCATTAAGTATGTTTTGTAGAAAGTATTGGGAAATATAGCATATGAGATTGCCTGCATTATATAAACTATTTCTAGGCCTAATAATTCAGTGTACATGAATAAAATATATTTTTGTAAATTCTCAAAGCTTTCTGCATAACTAACCAGACAATACATGTGTTTTTAAGCCAGTTCAAAAGAAATTAGTAACTTTTACAACTTTGAGGATCCTACCTCAATTTGGCAGCAAAAAATAAATGTAGAATCTGTTAGGAAAACTAAAAAATTATAATTTGTTTCCTTCAGATTAACATTTTTAATTCAAAGTGCTATGGGAATGCTTTGAAGAAGAAAAAATAAATAAACTCACTTTGGTTGACTGTTTTCAATAGTTAATATTTATAATAGTCCCTCAACATACTTAAAACATAATTGAAAAAGAACAGGAGATTTTATAACCTTGCCTATTCTTTTTTCATCATTCTCATAATTGATTTAATAATTTAGGCATTTTCTTAAATGAAATACTTTAATATTAAAATATGTATATCCAAATTTCATTCTTTTCAATGGTTTATTGGAATTTTTATTATTCTGGTTAACATTTTTGTTGTCCCCTGGTGTGTCAGTGGTAATTTTAAGGGATTAAACATTAAAATCTAAAGATTCAGTTTCCCATGGTGGACAGAGTTCAGATAGCCCATTGTATAGCTTTGTGCTTAGAAATACCACTTTGTTTTGAGAAGTGGTCTGAAATGGACCCATGCAGTGTGAAAGTATTAAACTTGTTTGGGTGCAGAATTTATCAGCTTGTTACTGCAGAAAACAAGAAATTAGAAAACCTACCTCTTGGGTAATTTATATTTTGCAGCTGTGATAATGATAAGTTTTTGTTTTTTACATACACACACAGTACACACTTCTAGAATATATATCCTTTTTTTGTTGTTGTTGTTGATTTTATAAGGTGTGCTTCCCTTCGTAACATTCGAGATAATGAAGAAAAAGATTCTGCTTTCCGGGGAATTTGTAGTATGATTGGAGTAAACCCTGGAGGTGTAGTGCAAGACTTCATCTTCTTCTGTGATGCAGTGGCGTCTTGGGTCAGTCCCAAGGCTGATCTTAAACAGATGTTTTATGAGGTAATTTTTTAGACTAGTAGTTAATTTTTTTGTTACAGTGAATGAATTTCTCAGGGAGGTCTAAGAACATTGATGCCAGTTATATATTTTGATTGAAAAGCTTATTAATTTCAGGTACAGAGTTCTAAAACCTATAATCTCTGAGAAAAATCAGATAAATGGGTAATGTGCGCTCAAGTCTTACTCTGTGGTTTAAATTGTGTGAAAACTACCCCTCTTAAGGTTTATGTTATATAAAGATTAACTTCACCAACTAGTCATTATCTGAAGATTGTTTCCTGGAACTGATTAATATTACTCTTTAACCTGATAATGACAACGTGCTTCAGACTGAAGGATATTACATAACTTTTTTTATTACATTTCTTTTGAATAATAAAACCAGTGGTTAAAATTGTTTAAAACTTGAAAAGAACTTTCATAAAAGTATGTAGTTTAAGAAAAATAAAATATTTCTACCAAATTTCTACCAAAAATTTTTTATTTAATGTAGTTATTTGCACTCGGTGTCTGAATAGTTCACCTGAAAGGTGATTTTTATGTAACAAGTATAAAAATATTATATTGCAGTTTTCATATTTCATATGCATAATCTCTAGAACCTTCTAAATGAATATCAATAGTTGTTTCAGGTAAATGTTTATATTTTATTTTCAATTTTCTCTACCATATCACTGACTCCAGCTATTATCATCAACATACAGTGCAATGAAATGCCTAAAATTAAGAAACGGAAATAAGTGTACATACCTTTTAACTCTTCTTGGAATAATCTTAAAATATCTTTCTTGAGTCACATGAGTAATTTCACATCTTTACCTTTTCACTTATAGTTTATTTTTAATGTTTTATTTTCCTTTCTTATTCTTTACCATTGGTTATTTATGTTGACACACGTCAACGGGTACCCGTGGGTGATAGAACGGGATAAATGTCAGAGATAGCTTAGCCTCGGGCAAAATCTTTTTATATAAGCTTCTTAATGTAAGCCTTGCAGAGTGAGGGGAAGTTTGGTTATTTTATAAAAATTATTAAACCTTTCAAATATGAACTTTAAAACACAAATAATACATAATTAATTAATTAATCCAACTATAACATATTTAGGTAAGAAACAATTGAAGTGCTATCGTGAACAAAGCAGCCAACAATAGTACAAGCAGTTACATTTACCCAAGGATGACAACTTGGCACCAATTTCAAAATAACCATTGTAGGATTATAGTGTAAAATGAGCTCTTTCTAACGACTATAAACACATAAATGTTGAAAGTACATGTAACTTCTAAAGCAAAACATGAAGGTGGGTGTGGCACCTGTCAGGATTGACAAAATTTGTTTCTTGTTTCAACTGTTTTCAGTGAAAGTACTTGGAAACACTTGTCAGAAGGTCAAGTAAGCTACATTCTCATCTAGACTTACTAGTACGTGATTACCCCCTTATGCTTCAAGCTATACTTTGCTGAATTCCTACATTGTTTATAGCTTTGAGTCACGTGACACAAAAGTGAGAGATTTCATTATTGCTTTCTTTTGAAATAAAGGAATAAAAACTAAGATAATGTAAAACTTTGAACTATAATGTACTTGATAATAATTTCATTAAATTAGATTGATAGTGAAGTGGTTTAATTGAATTTTGGATGTAACTCAGTAACATGCACAGTCTTAAAAATGGATCAAAATTATAGGGTTAAAAACTGGTTCATTGATCTGTTTAATATTACTCTTTTAAAATTTGTTCTTGGGTGCAGTTAATATCCTGTCTTTAATAATTGGTTCCTGAAACTGATTAATATTACTTTTAAAAAAAAAGTTTCTAGATCTAGTTAACATTGCTTTTTTGACATGGTTTTTTGAGAATATAATTAATATTGTCTGTTTAAAATCTAGTCTCTGGATCTGGTTAACCCTTTATAGCCCAAATGTTTGTTATCATGCTACCTTTGACCAAATTTGAAACCGGACACATGGGCTTGATAATTGTGAAACTTTTTGAAATATAAATTGATTTCTTTTAAATCGACTTATGATTTGTAATACAATCAAAACAACTACATAACATAGCTATTCATAACTCTCTTATGCATACTTCATGTAACCATTGACCTGACAGGTTTCATACATATATCATAGTAGGCCTAATGGTGTTGTGTGCTAAGTCATATGGTTTAAAGAAATGGAGCAATGAAAAAAAGTATTTAAACTAGTATATATATAT